AAGTTTTAATATTTATTTAGTTTTAATATGTAAATATTTGAGGAGGTGCAGAAAGCCTGTATATCGGTGGCAATACCTGCTCTTCATCTTCCAGATAATGCAATGTCTTTCCTCATGATGAATGTGCCTTGTCACCTTCCGTGGGCTTTGGTCTGGAGTCCCATGTCCCTGCCTGGCCACAGAGCCTGTGAGAGTGCCAGCATGGCAGAGGGCCAGGCTGGGGCAGCTCCTGCACAACCAGACTGAGCTGCCTGTGTGTGTGAGCAGACAGCAGGCCTCCAGCTGGGTCTGGGTTCCTGCCCCAGGCTGTGTCCACATCTCGTGTGTGGTTAGAAATGCACAGCCATTTCCCTGATTTCTATCCCAGCACCTTGCAAATGGTAGAGCACTTTACCTCCTGTAATTAGACTATCCTGTGTATTTTTGTTGCTTTTACTTCTTACAAGGAAAACCGGTGAACTTGACTGATTTTTGTTTCCTCCCTTTTCTCTCCAAAATTCTTAGGATATTTTTAGAGGCTTTTATCTCTGAGCTTTTGGAGGAGAGAATAGCATACTGATAGATCAGCTGTCAGTTTTCAACTTCCTGAAGACTTGGCTTTCCAACCCGGAGCTCATGACTGTTTTTCAGCCTGACTTGTGCAGCACTGGTGTGCAGGAAAAGGAAAGAATGGGGGAATCTCAAAGGCTTTGTTTTACAGGTGTTTTGATACAACTTATGATAGTACATAGGGTAGAAATTTGCCTCAGCAGAAGAAGGTGATTACTAGCCTGAAGGTGTACATTTGGTAGAGTTTAAGAAGGTAAATTAAGTTTGAAATAAATTCCACATGTTTTGGGATCAGTGCAACCTTAACTCAATATTTGAATAGCAGGCAACAGAAGATGGTATAGAAAACTCCGTCTACAGCCTCAGGAGTCAGGGAGCAGAGAGGTCAAGTCAGGTGCTGTATGTCTGGTTCACAGCAGAATTCAGTGCCAGGAAATGGTTAGATAACCACACAGAGACTTTTGGACTGATTTCTGAAAATGTCTTGCAGAGCACTGATGGATTTCTGTGAGAAGGAAGAGAAAATTCCATGAACTTTTCCCTTTTGTTGCATTAAACTTTCTTGTACTTGGAATAATATCTGATGATTTGGTCTTCTGTCTGCCTATTGAGAAGGCTCGAAACAAACCTGTTGTCTCTGGTGATTTCTCCTTATCTTCATTCACCTCCTTCAGGTGAAATTTCCATGAAATCTTTTTTCCCCCCTGCAACAAAACAGGCTGCTGCAGAGGAATACACGTAGCTTTTCTAAGCAGGAGATCAAATAAATACCAAACCAAAGCCATAACTTAGTGCAGCATTTTGGTGAGTGCAGTTTGTTAGCTGTGTGGAATCTGGGAACACAATGCCTAAAGAAGAAATTTTATTTTTTAATAGAAATCCAATAAGAGAAAAAATGAAGATAAGTGGAAGTCTAGAAATGTATTGTAAATTCCTCAGGGATGCAGCAGGGGACAGATTTTGTTTTCAGTTTGGAGACCAGGATGGTATTAAGACTTCATTTCATGCGAATGATAATGCAAAAATTATTTCTGCAAAAGAGCTTTAAAAAAGTTATTCTGTGAGCCAGATTCTGCAATACAGTTGACTGTAGCATGAACTGGAAACTCTGAGTCAAATAAAAAATACTTGCTTATTTTTAATCATTTAGATAAATGTTTGGCTTTTGTGTTTTGTTTTTAAATCCGATGTTTGCAGTTTGTTTGTTTGACAGTGAGTGAATGCAGCCTGCTTTTTTTCACTCGGGCCTAGTTTTGTATTTAAACTCTGCTTCTAGAAGTGCATGTGTGCTGGACTGCAGTTAGGACCACTGGAGAGCAGTGGCACACTGTTAGGTGTCCATCCTATCCCCATAGTATAGGTGGCCTGCCAGTGCTCTGGAGAAAAACAACCCCAAAGCTTTAAACAAACTGTGCTTAATGGAAATAAACTTTTTTTTTCCCCCTTACTGTGTAATGATTTGGGAAAATGTGTTGGCTGTGTGCTTGGAGTGGGAAGAGAAGGAACTTGTGTGCATAACTTGCTTGTTGGTGGATGCTCTGGGGAGACAACAGAGGGGAGCTATGAAGTTTCTGTAGCACAGAGTGCTTGTTAACTCCCAGCCAGCCTTTCTGTTGGAAGGTGAGCAGACTGATGATGAGGACATTTATCTAGTGATTGCTTTCTTCCCTATATGGATGTGTAAGTTCTGGTATTGTATCTGCAATTTTCCAGATATAACTTTTAGCTTTGATACTGCCTTCCATGTCATTCGCCTGATACCTGCTGGGTTTTGGTGGTAAGTAACAATGGCATGAAACCAATACTCATCTTAAGTTTCTTCCTAATTCTGTTTTTGAAAAAGCAGAGTAGGCAATACAGGCTGTAGTGTACTTTGCAGAAGAAAGAGCACCATGGCCATAGTTTTTGTTTCTATTTTTTCAAACTGGTGCTGATAAATCTTTGCTCTCACTTCTGTTGCTATGGTGTTACTTCTGTTCGAAAACAAACCTTTGGGTAATCTTGTTAAATGCAAAGATGTTTGGAGAGAGAGATGCTGAAAGAGAGGGGAAGTAGGAGGGCTCAAATTCCAGCTGATGACGAACAATGAATCAGTGTTTGTCTCAGCAGAGGGCCAGCAGAAATTTTGCACTGTACTTTCACTGACTTGTGGTTGGGTCCGATATTCCACTTGAAAAGGCCTCTCTTTTTTTTTCCCCTTCCAAGGTTGTTTTTTTGTGGGTTTTTTTCCTTTTTTCTTTAACTTCTTTTTCCTTGGTATATAAAAGGAAGGTGGAACACTTCCAAATTCTGCGCGGCTCAGAAATATTTGCTTTCCACAGCGCGGCCCAGAACACAGCGAACTTGTTCTTGTGAACAGTTTGATCCTCAATCCACAAAACGCTGGATCAAATTTTGAAGGTTTGTGTGGCTGAAATGTACCTGCTGCCCTGCTGAGCCACTTAAGCATTCATTGAACAGCCCAAGAGCAGCTGCTCAAGTGTGCTGCCATTCCTGGATGGTTTTATTCACAAAGCGGGAGGCAGAGCGCTGTTACAGGGCACTTTTTAACACTTTCTGGTTTGCCTGTGCAGATCTTGATAGGTGTGTTTTGTTTACCTGCTCAGAATAATGTGCCCGTTGATTTTAGCTGACACAGTTCTAGCAAGGAAGTTATCTTGCCCAGATGTCTTACGTTTCTGGGAAGCACTGTGCTGAAAATGCCTGCGTGTGCCTTGAAGGCTGCTTCTATTCCTGGGTCAAGGCTGAAAGGAAGGACTGTTTGCTTGGTTTTTAACATTTCTCTGCAGATTGTAGCTGCAACTGCCATAAGAACATGTAGGGTAACCAAATTCCAATACTTACTTGCTTCTCACTGTTTTTGAAAGTGCAAGTCCTGAAAATGGATTAATTCACTTTTTTTTTTTTTTTTTTTTTTTTTAAATCTTGGCAACTGGGAACCTTCTGACCCAGTTAAATGGATCCCTTGTTTTACTGTTTCCTTCCAGATAGGCAGATGAAAAAAGCTCAGGAAAAGTAGTTGGGTCATCTGACATTTCTTTTAAAGCTATTAACTAATTTTCTGGAACTTTTTTGCAACAGATCCTCTCCTTCCCCATCCTCAACTAAGCTGCATTGCGCTTCATTTTGTCTTGATTCTGCAGATGCTTATGTCTGCATTCAGTCTTCTTGCTGCAATGCTCGGAGGAATTGAAATACAGGTTCTGCACAGCCACCTTCTTGCAGGCTGCTCACCTGCAGCTCATGACCCATTGAGCAGCCCCATTGGCTCTGTTTGTCCTTGCTTATACGTCATCTTTGCATACAGGGAGCCACTGCTGCTTGCATGCAAGAGGTGTCTGTTGCTGTCCTCCAAAGATGTGCCTTATTTTCTAGTTGCATTGGGATCTACACAAGTATTTCAGAGATATTACAAGAGCCTCAGTGTATAGCTGGCAGCAGTAGTAGATTGTAAAATGCAAGCAGAGATGGGCTCTGTTGGGAAGAATAGTCGTTGTGTCTCAGTTTGACTCCATTTATTTTGCTCAAGCCTAGCCCAGGTCAGAGTGCCTATAGAAGAAAACCAGTTCAACTATGGGGATCAGTCAGATTAGCAACTGACATATTATTAAAAGGCTACAAAGTTTCTATTGCTTTAATTTTACTGGTGCTCGAGGTCTTTTCATCCTGTCTCATTGTTACCTTCCTTAAATCATGGGATGGGAAACTGTATAAGACAAAGTCCAACTGTATAAGACAAAGGCAATGGGACAATGAAGATCAAGCTCAGTGCTCCCCAAACCCTGTCTCGGTACTGGGGACCCAGCCCTGTGACACATTGCCTCTAATGTTGTGTCAGCTACACTGGAGCTGAGTTTCTGCTGACCCCATCCTCAGTGTGTGTTCCCCTACCCAGCATCCTGTTGAATGGCATAGGCTGTGCTCAGGGAGCAGCACTCCTCCCACTTGAGGAGCTCTCACTGCAGCAGAGGAATTTGCAGAGATCCTGAATCACTTGCTCTTGTGTTACCTGTGGGACCATCCTAGGTGCTGTTCTGTGCAGGCGCAGAGGGCATGAGAGGTGTTCTTTTTATTAGTGGTGATAATTTTTGTTGGCTCAATCTTTTTGCATTGCATATATATCTATATATCTATATATATATACAGGGAGGAGAGCAAAGAAGGAAATACTGTCTCAAGGAGGAGAAGAAGCACAGGAAGACCTTTGGAGGAAGTGTGCTTGGCAGCAATTTCAGTGCCTTTCCATGGAATTAGGTGTACACTGCTGAGAAATAAATATCTAAGTAAAGTTTCCTGGAATCCGATGGAATATCAGTTGTCAGGGATTTGGATAACATGTCAAAATAAAGGCAGTGTGTAAAGCAAGTGCCCAGTGTGATGGCAGCACCTTGGGCAGTGAGCCTCACACCCTCCATATATTGATAAGTTTTCTCTTTTTTTTTTTTTTTCAGCTTGACCTCACCAAACCCATTGAGGACCAGGGCCCTTTGGATGTGATCATACATAAACTGACAGATGTCATCCTCGAAGCAGACCAGAATGACAGCCAGTCACTGGAGTTGGTACAGAGGTTCCAGGTATGTGGTTCTTCAGTAGCGTTTCAAGCAAGAGAATGATCGTGGTGCAGCAAATTCAATTTGTTCTCTATGCAGTTGATGATGTTTGGTGAAAAGAGATCTCTGGCACACTGCTGCCCAGCCCGAGTCCAGAAAACATCATTTTGTCAGTCTAAAATGAACTTTCACCTGTAGTTACATTGTTTAGTAACAACTCATTTCCCACCAAATGTTTGAATGTCATTTCAAGAACATTCAAGAACATTTCAAGTGTAGTCAATGAAGAACAGGTGCTTCCAGAGTCCTTTATATCTCTGTTTCTCTATGACAGAAGCTACTAAAATAATTTGACCCAATCCTGTCCATTCTTCCCACTTACTGGAATGCTAAATTCTGTAACATCAAGGCTAGTATAGGTATTTTCATCCTCTGATAGCATCCTGATTTGCTTTTTTTTTTCCTCTCGAGTTAACATTGTTAAGTCAGAAATATGCAGGGCACAATGGTACAGACAACTGTTTTCCCAAATTCCTATCGTAGTATGAATGATAATGCATTTATTGTTTTAAAGGGTGATGTTTCTGATGGATAGTTTTGATCAAAGGCATGTTCTTTTCTTTTTCACAGAGAAGTTGAGTAAGATATTTTCTGAAATTTATGAAATATGCTTATGTTAGGTGGAAGAACAGTTGGGAAAAAATAATGCCCAAAGAGGGAAAAAGACTCGTGTTGAGTTGCTCACAGCTATGTAAAACTCCTGAGATTCCTGATTCCTGATCCTTACTTTGTTGGTTGCATTTCTGAAGGTCTCAGTTTGAGCAGGGCTCAGTGAGCTCATCTCTGTGTAATGCTGTGCTACCTCCTTTGTCCCCTGCAGAACACATTGATAGGGAATTCATGCAAGCATTAGAGAACAGACCGTAGCAATACAATTAGTATCTGAAACATGTTTCTTTTATTATGAGCAAGAACTCATCAGTGGATATTGAATATTTTTATAAGAATTCCAGCTAGTGAATTTAATGTATTTAATTACTGAAGATCGTAAGCTGTTACTTTTTCAAATATCTAACTGGGGTCTTTAAGAAGCACTACAAAGTATGGAGAACATATTTTCCTAAAGCTGCACTTAAGCATCAATGTGAAGTTCAGTATGAAATGGGGCAGAGCACTTCACAACAAGAGCCTTGGCTTTGGCTGAGAACTTAATGGGCTCTTCTTGGTGTGGCAGCTGCTGCATGAGTGGAATGCTATTAGAGCTAAAATGACCCGCTAAAGCTGAATGCCTTGTCCTGATAAATTTCTTAAAGTAATCACAGTGTACCTTGATGTTATTCTATGTATCTTTGGTAGTACTTATTAATCCATTATTTTTGTATAGGTTAAGCATTGAAGCTTTGTTTTTAAACCTACTTAAGTTAAAAAATCGCAGTGAAAATGTGTTTTTTATCTAATGAGGCTGTGGGATAGATTCTGAGATTGGTGAGAGATAAGTGCTATACATTTATGTTTATTCTTTGGTTCAGAGGCTTATTTTTTATATCTTTTTGATAGCACTCGCAAATGAATAATATCACCTGAAAAAAGATGCAATGGCCTAACAACAGCAAACATTCCCTTGCAGAAATACTAAAACAAAACTACAACTGCAAGTCAGAAACTTAGTTCTCTCCACCCTTACATCCTAAAGTGCCTTTCTGTGCCTCAGCTTACCAACCTCTGTTCATAAACTGAAGTATATTTCCTACAAAGAACATTGTAATTTTAATTAATATTTAATTAAATATCAGTATTCAGGCAAAAATAGTGCTGCAGGCCTATGAAGATAATTAGCAGTGGGCTAATGGGAAGTTGAACATTTTTTATTCTGATAATACTGGAAATTTGGATTCTCTGTCAAGTGTTGTAGAAAGTAAATTTATTGCATGTATACCTGGGTTGTATGAACAACCTCAAGGTGTCTGCAGATCTATTCATCAGCAAGCAGCTGTATCACTGGAAAATCTCTTTCCCCAGTAATACATACTTTCTATATTTTTTTCCTAAGTGCAAGTGGTGCAGACAGATGGAAGCAAGGATAAGATCTGGGTATGTCACATACTGAAGAAATAGTTCACTGTCTCCTGATGTAATGGGTTGACGCAGTTGTTCAGCTAACTTGTTCAGCTAACAGTTGAACTGCATAAGGAAATAAATTTGGGTGAAAAGCACCCTGTGGATAAAGAACTTTGTCTCATTCCAGTCTCCTCTACAGGTGAATTGTGTTCATGCACTGAGGATTGCTCTGAACTTTCATCTTCATTTCATGTCACTGGTGATGATATTAGTCTCTTCTGGACACTTAGCCTAATTCCAGTTTAGCATTGCTGTGCTTGCAGTGGCAAGTTTTGGCCAAGCATGCTCTGGAACGGCTGCTGCAGGTCTGCAGTAAGAAACTTTATTAGAAGCATTGTTCTTATAAACTGCTTATATGCAGCTGGCCTTCAAGGGCTTCATAGTTAGCAATATTAAATTTAACCACAAATGACAATAATAAAAAAGCCAAGAATGTTAGAGCAGAACTTGATGTTCTTTCTTCTGTCTCTGTTAGTCCTTGGTTGTTCAGTAAACAGTTATCTAACATATTTATTTTTTGAGGATGCCGTCTTCCTGCAGAGAAGTGTTATGTAATGCCTAGAGAATTTAGAAAGGAATTCTGGGGTGTATGTTCAGTCCACAGTTTCGTTGTGTGATCTAGATCATCCCATTTGCACCACCAAGTCATAAATTAAAGGAAATGTTATTAACTCCTTTCTGAGATTAATAAGGAGCTGATAGTGCAAATAGTGTTTGCTTATTGCTGAACTTGATCTGACTAAACAATCCAAACTTCAATATGCTAATTATTCTGCTATTGAACATAAATTTAACATCAAGATAAAACCTGGCACTTGGCTTATTGGTGGCTCCATGGAGCAGTCTTTCAGGCAGCAAAAAGCAAGGGCTCCTTGATCACAGGAGGAGGGACAGTCTGCCAGGCTGCATTTCTGACCTTTGGAAGAAAAACTTAATTCAGAGCTGTATTGTAGAAGCCTGGACCATCTCTTCTGCAAAAGCTTAGGAGGGAGCTGGGTCTGTGTGCCTGTTCTCTGCAGGCTGTGACAAACACTTGTAGTCTGGTGCCGAGCACTAGCAGTCTGTGAAGCCTCTTTGCATGCCAGTTTGTCTTGCAGTTTAATGAGTGTTCTCAATTGCATCGTAAAAAATTACTGTTACAGCAGACTCTCAGAATGGTGAGGAGGAGGTGCATGCTGATCTTTTAACTGGAGAAGACCTTTTGGACCGAGCCTTCTGAAGTCTTTGTGCTATTTGGATGTGGTCTGGACTACAGTTCCTCCAGAGAGCATTGGCAGCTGCTTAGTGATCTCCTCCAAAGCCAAAATGAAGACCATGTGCAGCACCTAGTGATTTGTGTGAAGGACAAATAGAAATTTTTCCATTTGCTTTGCAAGATACTTCAGCCTTCACATTAGAGAATGTGGAGTCTCCTTTCCTACCTGCAGCAGCACTGGGCTGAGCTGATTGAGTATAATTTAGTTGTCATATAATGGAAAAAAAAAAAAAAAGGAAAAAAAAATCACAAAACACCACACAAAACACTAAAGTCCATGGCATTTCCTTCTTGACCAGAGGAACATGGGAGAGAAGTCAGGTGTGAAGGGTACCCAAGATACCCTTTCACTTGCTGTTTTTCTGGTTCCTGTCATTCTGGTAAGAAAAAGAAGCAAGCTACTCAGTTCCTGCCCCTCAGATAAAGTTTATGGCTTTGAAAGTCAAATATGTTTTGGCTGGCATAAGCCACTGCCGACTAGGAAAGTTTGTTAAGCTCTGATTTTAGCAAAATACTCTCTGAACAGCTGCCTGTCATAGCTATACAGGGGCTTGTGTAGCTTTATTCATAGCAGCTCCTTCTGTCTGTTCCATTCAAATTGATAGCCTTAAGTGATGGAAAATTGATAGGACTGTTTATTTGTGTTTCAGAGCTTTTTTGAACAGTTTCTCTTTGCATCAGCATTCTTGAAAAGATATTACAAATAGTTTTATTCCTAGGCCTGTGCTGTCAGGTTGATGGAAATTGAAAATGTTCTTTATTCTGCTCTTCATCCTCCCCACCACCACCCATATTTCCTACTTCTGGCTCTCCTACTCTGAAGCTGTCTAGGAAAGCTCTGCTGTTAGAGGGGCTTGGGACTGGGATGAAGGGAAATAAGGGAAATATTTTGGAAGGTGAGAAGTTAGGCTTTGTTCACACTGCACTGATTGCTTTCGTCAGATTTCTCACTTTCAAAAAGGTGATTTGGGTACACACTCATGGAGATGAGGAGATGATGCTGTGGGTTTTTGTGGTTGGTTTTTTTTTTTCTTTTTTATTATACTAGCTCATTCTGTTCCCAGTTACCAACTTTATACTCTGAAAATACAAATTTCAAATTTCTTTTCATGTGTTCTGCTGAAAAGGACAAGTGAAAAATCTAAGGAAACATTCAAAGCTTAGTCATTTTTTTCTTACTGGTTGGACAGGATAAGACACATAGCTGAACTAGTCTATTTGCATTTGAATTCACAGGCCAGTGACGGTGTTTTTCCCATTTGAAAAGTAACTCTCTCCTACTGTGGTGTTGGAAGAGCCTTATAATCAGGCAAAATTAATTAAAAATCTCTCATCTCAGAGCCAACTGGAGTGGGAGAGCTTCCTGATGATAGGTATTTGCAAGATAAAGCTGTGGGGAGTTCTCGACAGAAAACCAGGGAGGCTGAGAGCTTAGAAATTTGCTTCCAGTTGTAGCACAAATAGAAGAGGAACAGATAAAGTGTCTGCCACCAGTATCCTTTCCAATCACTGCAGGGATCTCATAGGTTTTAAGAGACAATCAATTTTGGGATCGGTATTTGCTGAAGCTCCACCTTGCCTGTAGCTTTCCTTTTGGTGTCCATGCACAGAGCCCAAGACAACAGAAAGGTCTTTTATATTTTATGTCTAAATCTGATTCAAGGTCATTAGATAAATTTTTTTTCTGCCTCTACATGTTTTCCCCTTGGAAAACAGCCATTTGTTGTTAAAAGCAGTTATCTCCGTGTTTCTATACACAGGAAAACACAAATCCAAACACTATCACTGTTTCATTTGCTGACATTTTTATATGCACTTTTTGTTTAAGGTTAAACAAAGGGTTATTGAAGTTTTATTACTTAGTAATGAAGTCAAGTCAATGAGTCAGTGAGTATTTCTTATCATCTAATGACCTAATATTTACAGTAGATACTGTATCAACTTTCTGTTAAAATATTAAAAATAAAAAAAAAAGTTACCTTTTTGGGTAAAATGGCAATCAATTCTATTCTCATTTGTATATATGCTTCTTAAGAATGGCTTTTTAAAAAAACTTATGGGCTATATCCAGAGGTATTTAATAGGGAACATGAAATACTGTCTCCCTTTGATTTCAAGTTTCATTGCTGGCCTTCTGCGAGCAGCAGGGCTGGTACAGAGCATTACTGAATACCAAGCCTGGAATAAAAACAAAGGAAGATCTGCTAAAAGTCCTGTCTTTTTCTTGTTTGCATTTATTGTATCAAAGATTAGAAAGAGGAAAACATAAACATTGTCTGGGTCAAGTTGAACTGCAGCCCAGGGACAGAGCCTTTTCAAAACACTGCTGGAAAGTCTAAATATCTGGCAGATTGTTGTCTGGGTTGTTGGAATCTGAAGTTGAATACCAGTCTTTGGTAAATCCAACAAAGGAAGGCATGGAATTGTTTTGTTCGGATGACCAGAGAAGAACTGAATGGTGAAGTTTGACAGGTTGTGCTCTCCTGAAAGCTGTCTTTTGGATTCAGTAATTCTCCTGCAGCTGTTCCATTTTCAAGTTCATATTTGTAACAGCTCATTCTTTTTTTTTCCTTTTTCCCCAGTAAGAGAAGGTTGTATTCAGTCTCCTGTGTGTGTTTGAAGAGGTTTTTTTCTTACACTACTAAGTCCCCCAGGCTCTAAATGGCTTCTGGGTGGTTATTTTCTGTTTGCCTTGCAGAACTCTTGGAGCCTCATTAAGTCAGCGAGATGAGCAGTAAGTCACTAGAAAGTCAGCTGAGATGCTTACTGCTATTGAAGCATTGCCTGGTGTAGAATTGCCTCAGGATCAGACCTTCTTTCCTGTTCAACTTCATTATGCTGTGTCAAACTTAGTTCTTGGATCATCTTCTAATGTGATTTAGAGCTGTTATCCTTATAAATGAAGTTCCTTGGAGTTCCTTACAGAAAGCATTAAAAAACAGAGTTCCTTCTGGAAGTACACTGGCTAATTTGAGCCAAACTAGTGTGGAGTATACCTGAGTGCAGAACAGTGAGGATATTCATTAACAGCAAGAGAGCATCAGGAGGATTTGGAAGCTGCACAAGGAATGGAGAGAGAGGGGAAAAATATTTTTTTCCTTGTAGAGCAGTGAAGGAGATGGAGACTAAAGGGAGGAGGAATGTATGTGTGAGGTGAGCAATCAGTGCATACACAGTGGGCCTAAATGGACATATGTGGAGCTTGAGCTCAACATGGAACCAGTGTGGTCAGGTTGGGGGGGCTGTTGCCACATTGCCAAAGGAGGAACTGATACACCATGAGAAACACTGCAGGATGTTCATGGAAGTGTGGTACTTGCAGGAGTAGTTACCATGTGCTTACATGAACAAATTGAAATGAATGAATGGAAATGTAAAATGGCTTTTGGAACTTGGGTTAAAGATAGACAGATGCTAGCTTTGGAGGTGTTTGTCCTAGTTTGGATGATGTAAGACGTATTCTTGTTTACCATCTACTTTAATTCCAGCCCTTATAAACCAGCCCTTAACATTCAGAACAGCTAAAGGGTGGTTTTAATAGCAGCATTAAGGAACTCAGATGTAGTTCTGAGCTTAGCTCGGCTCAGGTAGTTTTGATGTTTGTGTGTAGTAATTCAGTGTAGGACTGACCCCAAGATAGCAGTGTGTCATCTTTCTTCTTCTAATTGCTTTTCTCTGCCCTGCTCACAGCTGTTGCTGTGGCACTTTGCCACTGGCTCATTTCTGAGCTGATGGGGTTGTAGCAGCACAGGTTTCATTGCTGATGGTGAGTCCACAGGAGGACTGTGCCATCCTGAAGCAGTTAGCTGTCACATTTGTTTTTGTTTCAGATGTCAGCATCAAGTCTGTCTCGTCACATCCTGCATTGCCAAAAAAAAAAAAAAAAAAAAGGTTGGATGTTGACTGAGGTTTATAACTGTGTTCTCTTTCCCATCTCACTATTTTCCATACTCTTCAGCCAACCTAATGCTTTTTTTTTTTCTTCATATTTGTTTTGCAGGAGTATATTGATGCTCATCCAGAAACCATTATCCTGGACCCTCTTCCAGCTATTCGTACACTTCTGGACCGATCCAAGTCTTATGAGCTCATTCGACAAATAGAGGCATACATGCAAGGTAAGCCAGTCACTTGCTGCCCCAGAAGGCTTTTTATTGTGATTTGTAGAGAAGGAAGCAGCTAGCTTCTGGAGGTTAGCTGTGAGGTTTCCAGCAGAGGCTTTGGGCCCCTCTAATTCTCTCTCTCCATGGGAGCACAAACACTGAAGGATTGTGGTGACATGGGATTGCACTCTGGACCCACCATGCTCTTCTCTTTCAAGGCAGGCAAAGGAGGTTTGCGTCTGGGTAAAAATGTGATGTGGGTTTAATGGGGAACATATTTACTACAGTGCTCACAGAAATCTTCAGGAAAACATTTTCTTTCCAAGCATGCTGGTAAATTGAGATGTCTCTACAAACTTCACAACCTGTCATAAGAATCCTGAGGCTGGAATTTTAAGATCTATGGAAGAAGAAAAAAAATTTTTGCAAGAACTGAAGAAAATTAAATTGTTAATAGAGCTAAGATGCATGAGAAATGCTGGAAGCCTGTCACACAAGTTAATTGCTAGGAGGAAGCATCTACTGGTGTTGGCTTGCTACCTGACATACACTGTTGCCTTTAATTGGACTTAATTGGATTGAATTCCTATATTTGGAAGTCATGCTTCTTAAACTTGAATAATTCTAGTATCTTACTGTGTTAACTGTTAGGTCAAGTTAGTCTTTCATTCCCTTTCTACTTTTACTGCCATTTTCTTGACTTCTTGCCTTTTCTGTTCAGTTTTAGAGAAGCTCTAAAAGTAACCGTTCCCTTGGATTAGATGACAACATTTCAGGGAAATTGCATTTTTGAACTATGCTCTAATGTGGCATTATTGCAATTTTCTTATGATTGTGTTATTACTATTTCATGGACTCAAAGGAAACTCATCAATTTGCATTTTCATAATTTGGGGTTTTACTGACCTACTGTTTGCATCTGACCTGCCTGGCCCCATCAGTTAGGAGCCTCTCAAATATGTAAAATGAAGACTAATAGCGCCAGTCTCCCATGTGCTTTACAAGAAGATGTTCAATTAGTTTAAAAGGATTTTGTTTTAAAGTGATTATTGCTGCATGTGAATGGGAAAGAGTTACTGAGGGAAATCTGTGCTCTGAATATGGGGTTGGTTTTTTGTATTTTTTTCTAGCAGTAGAGAGATTCAGCGTTTTTTTGTTTGTTTGTTTATTTGTTTTTTCCTTAAATTGTTATTGATATTATTGTCCTTATTTTCTCTACGGTAATATCATGCTCAGGAGAGCATCCAGTTTTTTGGAAGGAATTCGAATTGCACACATTTCAGCCTCCACTGGTGAAATTGAGAAAGGAAAAAAAAAAAGAGAGAGAGGGAAAACTACTAAGGAAGAAAAAGGAAAAAGTCTATTTTTATTCTGTTAAAACTGATAGCTTCCAAGTGAAGCTGTTAATAAAATTTAGGAATGAGACAGGAAAAAACTTCACCTGTTTTCACAGACTATTCTAGTGTTAGGTGAGCTATGCCCCCAGATCTCCCAGATATAGCTCAGCTTATTTCTTTCTCATCATCAGAAATATTATGGCAGAGACCTTGAACCACCTTTGTATTTAGCAGGGAAAATCTCAAGAGAGCTGAATAACTGGTGACTTCTTGTTCTGACCTCAGCAGACCAGCTTCTGTATTCCCACATGTAATCATTTGCAGTAGAGAAGATCAAAATAGCTGCATCCCTCTAGACAAGTGTGGTGGGTTTTTTCCCTTCCTAATTTTCACCTGCTAAACTGTGTTTTCTGCTCTGCAGCTGTCACGGAATATCCCAAGGCAGTGAGCACTTAGAAACCTCAAACAAGAAGTAATACATCTGTAAATAGCATAAGGTCTTTAAAGTCACATCTTTTTTGTTCTGGAATTTAGAAAGGAAGTCACTACCAAGAATAATATCCTAGAATTTAGCTGTAACTGAAGAGCCCATTTTATCATGGGATACAGATTGAATGTGGTGGGTTAAGCTCAGTGCCAGGGATTCTCTCTTCCAGAGGAATGCCATACGCTTGGAATGGTTCAGTATTTGTGTGTGGAGAAATGCTCTGCTTTGGAAAACTATTCAGAGGGCAGTTTTGGACTCAGGTGACCTTTGCCTTTGATTTATGTTTCAGAGGAACTGCAAACAAAGTATACTCCTTATTTATGATCTTCCGTTTGCATTTCAAGCTTGTTGGAAAGAATATAATCAAGTATAATCAGAGGTTTGCACCAGTTAAAAGGGAGGATGAACACACATTCTGGTCACTTGCCTGCATCTTCACAGATGTCGTATGTTGCTGAGGTGGCCACGTTCTGCAGCAGTAGGACCTGGTGTTAGATGAACAGCTTGATTGCATAGGTAATTACCATTCAGGTATCCAGGTTAATGCCTTTTAACAGTTAATTCTCCATATGGCATGATAAAAGGAATCGCTCTATGAAGTGCCTAAAACTGGCACCTGGACATTGTTAAGCTTTCTGAAAGTCCTGCAGGATGCTCTTTATGAAGCCAACCATGTGATTGAAAAGCATTTTGATCCAGCCTCATGAGAACAGGTTGGAACAGGCATTTTGTGGCACATACGTTGTCTCTGCTGTTGCAGCCTGTAGCAGCTAGTAAGGGGATAGAGTTGGAGGAGAACTACAAGTAAGTAGGCAAGAGTTAGTCATGCAGTTTGGTGTGAAGCATAGAGTTAAACCTGAACTTCTAGATCATGGGCTGACACTGTGACCACTCAGGACTCAGGAATCTGAGGTTCACAGAGACATGAAGGTTGGAAGCACCCCTGAAAATCACCTAATCCATCCCCCTGCTAAGAGCAGGATCCTCAGGTTCCTCAGAACCATGTCTATCTGAATGCTGTGTGTCTGCACAGACGGAGGATATGTGACCTTTCTGGGCAACCTACTCCAGGATTACATTGAACCAAGCATGCTAGCGTGCAGCTAACAGGGGGTAAAGTGACTTGCAGAAATCCCGTTTTTTTTCAGTTCAGATAGTAGTATCTCCTTTGGAAGGAAATGGAGCACTCTTCTAAAAATATACATAAATTTATGGACAGCTATTTTGGCATTAGTTTTACTGGTTTCTTTTTTGGAAGAAGTAGCCTGATCAGGGCTGAGGCTTCCTCTTTTTTTCCTGTTCTCTCTTATTTTGAGTGCAGGGTCAGAGAGAGTCATTCTGAAACCTTCTCTTCTAAGTCTTCTGAAAAAAGTTTGCATTCTCTAATCGTGTCCTACATAGCTGGCAGGTCTATCTTGAAATAAATCACTGAAAAGACTTTTTTGGTATGGCAGTTGAGATCTCTTGGCAGTTACATTGCTTTGTTTACTTATCTGTGAAGAATGACTTCTGATATCAAAGTGTTCTAGAACAGATTCTGTAATGTTTGGTGAAAGATTAGGGACATTATTTAACAGAAATTTCACTTTTGCAGGGTAGCGTGTGGTGGGAGCTGGGTCAGCCTTTCTGAAGCTTCTGCCTCATGAAACGTAACTAGATTCTCTGATGCTGTATTGAAAAGCTGTGATCTTACAGCCTCAGAGTTCAAGATCTGACTTTTTAAATTATGCTTAAGGTGATAGCAGATAATCACTGTGAGTTGGCTTGGCAATGAAGCCTTTTTATTCTGAAGATGAAAAGCTTTTAATGTTCCTGATACATATTACACATAATAATATAAACAAAAGAAATTAAGATCAAAACTCTGACCAGTGTGCTACACATTAGGTGTTCTGTCAAGTTAGCGACTGTATATAAAACTCAGCTTCCTTTTATGTCACCTGTACAGTTTCTTCTGTTGGACCTTCAGATATTGTGGACTCTGGAGTTCATTTCTCTAAACATTTCTACCTGTTGTTGTTTGTTTTTTTTTATGATTCTAAGAGAGTTCATGTACGAACCCAGTTGTGATTCCTGAATTTCTCTCTCATTTTTTGAAATAGAATAAGTATGCCTTAAGAGCAGAAAAAAATATAAAACCATTTAGATGTGATATTTTCATCAGTGTGTATTTGAAATCATTTGTTTGATTGTTTGCTGTTACAGGAGGTGCTGTTTCTGTGTATGTCATTCCTATTTGTCACAAAACTTTGGAACAGAACTCTGCACCATTTTCTGTCCCCAGAGTTGTTTTTTTGTGTTTTTTTGTTTGTTTGTTTGTTTGTTTTTGGTTAAATTCTATCTCTCTGTTTTAGAAATACTACTTGAACTGCATGTCTTCTGGGCCTAGCAGAGTGGCTCAGCATGATGTAATGGATAAAGCATAGTCTGGGACTCCAGGTTTTCTGCTGGCATGATCTGGGGACCCTTGTGCATCTTCTTCTCCTGACCATATCTGCCTGTCTTTTCCCTGCCACTGCCACATTTTTCCAGGCAGAAATCTCTTTTCCAAATATACATGCGTATGACTCTTTCATACTTAGTCTCTGACGCCAAGCAACATGTGTTGTGTGTTATCCAAAATCATAGTTCTGTTGGTGAGTGGAAAACTGGGTTCTTGTAGGTCAGCAGCAAAGCAAGTAGTCTGACTGTCCGTTTTGGAAGTCATGGGGAATGAATACTTCTGGAGTGGTGCATACTCAGAACTTCTCAAAATTAGGCCACCCAGTTAAAGTGCCTGAAAATAGCTTTATGTACATAGTTCTATGTGTTCACCTTTGGAATCTCTGGTCACTGTGGTCTGTGGCCTACTTTAGTTAGCAATTTTGGTCGGACAGGAGGGAGTAGAATATTCACTTAGATCAACTTCAGGAGCTTTCCTCTATATTTGAAGCTCATAGTAAATTGAAAGGAAATATCTGTTTTTAATTTAAAGATGCTAAATCATCCACCTGAGACTTGTTTGTTTTTGTGGAAACATCACTAAAGCCTCTGAGTTGAGGGCTGATGTTGCTACTGCAATAACCATGTCAGTTCAGGAAGCAAAAATCTTCCACGTTGATTTTCTCCCAAGAGCACATGCAAATTGATGTCTCATCACCTCACTCTGAGGGTGGTACATGTTCATGCACTGTGTTTTAATTTGTCTGAAA